TGCCTACCTTGTTCCTCTCTGAGACCATAGATCTATGAGGGCAGGGATAGTGCCTTTTTTCCCACCCATATTTTATTATGAGAAATTTCAAATGTAAAGTGGGAGGAATTTAGAGCCAACATCTGTACAGCCCATGACTTGGATTCTACACCCGTTTCTGACCCCGTTATACCTCTGTCCTGAACATGCCTGGTGTCTAGGAGGCGGGCCATACATCTTGGTTGAATGGAAGTGGTTCCTGCCCTTACACCATGAGGATGATAAAGATAAGGTGAACAGGCACGTGTGCGAGGATGTTTATTTCAGCATCACCTATAAGTGTGAAAACTGGAAACGACTTAAATGCCCACGACAGAGGACTGGCTAAATAAATTATGCCAATCCTACACAATGGGACCCCTTGCCTTCAGTAACAATGATGACATAGATCCATGTGTATGGACATAAAAGGATGTTCCTGAGGTACCATTAGGGAAAAAACGAAATAAAAGTGGGTATGATACTATTTTTTTTGCAAAATTAAAAAATCAACAAACAAATAGGCAGTGCCTATTCCATGCCAGGTACTAATCTTAAGTACAGTAATACCTTGGTTTGCGAGCATAATTCGTTCCGGAAACAAACTGCTCCTATTGCAAGACATCACTCGTTTACCAACTCAAAATGTATTAGAAATGTTTGCTCATCTTGCGGAACACTCGCAAAACAAGTTACTCACAATACAAGGTTTTGCTGTACTTTACATATGTATAGCAATGCATTTTAATCCTCACAACAACCCTAGGAGTGAGTACTCCTAATAATCCCCATTTTGTAGGTAAGGAAACTGAGGATAGGGATGGTAAGTAACTTGCCTAGAATCACACGGCCGTTTCCATGGGAAAACACCTTGGAAGTGCCACAAAAATATAACGGTAGTGACAATACCAAATGCTGGCGAGGACGTGGAACACAGGAACTCTCATTCACGGCTGGTGGGAATGCAACACGGTGTGGCCACTTTGCAAGACAGTTTGGCGATTTCTTACAAAACTAAACATACTCTTACCACATGACCCAGCAAACGTGCCTGTGGGTATTTACTCAAAGGAGTTGAAAACTTATGTCCACACAAGAACCTGCACACGGATATTTATGGCAGCTTTGCTCATAATGGCCCAAACCTGGAGGCAACCAGGATTCCTTCAGCAGGTGGAGAGAGAAGCAAACTGTGGGACCTCCAGTCAGTGGAGTCTTATTCAGCACCGAAAAGAAACGAGCTATCGAGCCATGAAAAGACATGGAGGAAACAGAAATGCATATGGCTAAGTGAAAGACGCCCATCTGAAAAGGCTGCTGACTATGTGATTCCAACTATACAACATTCTGGAAAAGGCAAAACCATGGAGACCGTGAAGAGATCAGAGGTTGCCAGGGCTGGGGGTGGGGAGAGGGATGAACAGACAGAGCACAGAGGATTTTTAGGGCAGTGAAAGTACCCTGTGTGATACTATAATGCTGGATACGTGTCATTTCCACCACCAAGGGTGAACCCTACTGTGGACCGTGGACTCTGGGTGATAATGATGTGTCAGTGCAGGTTTGTCAGTTATAACAAATGGATGTTGATAATGGATGTTGATAATGGATGTTGATAATGGGAGAGACTGTGCATGAATGGGGGCAGAGGGCATACGGGAAATCTCTGTACTTTCCTCTCAATTTGGCTGTGAACCTAAAAGGGCTCTTTACAAAAGTCTATTAAAAACACATACATAATGGCGGTTCCTTCTGAGAGATAGGAATTAGTGGAATTTTGATTTAATTTTTCCTTTTGCCTCTGCCACGTCTCATGTTTCTCCAGTAATCATGCTTCACCTCTCTCTCTCTTTTTTTTTTTCTCTCCCAAGAAAATCACGTCTCACGTGGAGAAGCAAAGTCTGGAGAAGGGGATGCTTGGCCACATACCTAAGACGCCTTCTTCCACAGATGTCCCACCGTGACAAGATTCGACGCGACATTTTAGAGTCACTCAACTACATATGAGAAAAAAGTTCCAGTAACCTTTGTCGGAGCCCGATAGCTGGATCCCCACATCCCGGAGGACGCGCTCGGTCGCCTCTAGCCAGGACTGCGACAGACGCAGGATGTCTAGCGCCACCTTCTGGAGCCCTGAAACAGGTGGGCTCACCTGCAGGTACTGAAGGAGTTCGATCTCCTTCTTCAGGTCGTGGCTACAGCAAGACATTTTCATGCAAGCCTGGGAAGAGAGGAGATCATGAGGCGCCCAGACACGGCCACCAGAAATAGCGCCTGACGTGACCTGTGAGGAACGACGTTCTCAGCTGCACATGGCAGCACTGGGACGCCCCTGTTTTACTTTCTTTTTTCTTTTTTCTTTGTTTGGCAGTTCTTATTTTGTGTGCACTCTAAGGTGGACTTCTGGTGGTCTAAGAGTCCCTCACTTAGGTCTATTCAATTTCAAAGCCAAACTGCCAAGGACAATTTGGCTGAAATGAGAACCAAATTTGGCTATTTCTATTCATCAAGATTCCTGCTGAGATCAGCACATAAGCTGGTCAGAAAGTGCGGTTTCCTGATTTGAAAGAGTGCTGACAAGCCAACATTTGCACAGACTCCCCAAATAGTAGCTGCTGATTTCCAGAGAAAGCAGAAGCAGCTGCCTGCTCTGATAAGCTGGGTCCCCAGGTGGGGG